AAATTGCTCTTACAGTCTGCAAAAAATAGTAAGCCGGATCCAATTTGAAGATTAAGGAACAACGCAATCATCAACATTAACTGAGTTAGATAATTTTAGCTTATACTGTCCGTTATACATTAAACACGCACGCGAAAACGTATTCTGTGCTTGCGCGCACGCATATGCTCAGTCGTAAAGGTCTTGCGCACACACTTAAACGCCTATGCGCATGCGTTAATGCAGCGCATGCACAGAATGTTTTTAGCTTTGAGGTCTGGATTGATTATAGATCATTCCGGGTTATGGGTGTCCGAATTAACGACTTTTGACTGTATTTCTTTTGATAAGAATAAATTTTATTAACCTTTTATCAGACTAATTTGACTAAAACAAAAATGTTAATATTTTCTGACCACAAGTCTACTGTGCATTGTGTTGTGAAAAGTAGTTTGTTATGAAAAGTAGTTAGAAATGCAGTCTATTGACGTAATTGAACCAAATCTCATAATTTCCAGTCCAAAAGGGACGTATTGGAATAATGAGGGGAAGTTTATTACTTGTCATTGTTTCAGGGGGAAAGTTTACTTTTAAGAGCCAGACAAAAGAAAGCTTTCATTTCCAGATGGTAAATATTTTTGCTGTCTTTCGAAATAAGATGCATAGTGTTCTTGTGAATGGAGAAGGTGGGACTTGCTTCACACTTGCAGTTGAGTGCTCATTGCCTCATTGTAAAAAATTGGTAAATTTTTCTGCAAAGTCTGAACTGAAACCAAGGCATGCCCATTCTCCCCTTGATTTATTACTATTAATTTATTCTGTTTTAAATGACTAAAGGCAAGTAATGGAAGCAAGTAATAATCTTTTAGAATACCCATACTAGATAGTTTATTCTTCCTTTATTCATCAGAAGTTTGTTTGTGTCATTTTAATATCTTCCATATATCAAATTGAATCAAATTGGAAAGGAAATTATGTGAACAAGTTTTAATAAATTGTGCAATTAAGTTTCTAATAAAGAAGTTGTGTTTTCTTAATTTATAGTCTTCCAACTAAAGCTTTTATTCTGATGTAATGGTTTTATGAGTTTAGGACTGCATTCTGGTTAAAGATTTAAAGTAAAATTAATTTTTTTTTTTTTTTTTTTTTTTTTATGCTATGAAACCTTTCAAGTATTTATTTTAATTTTACAAATGCTTCACTAGAACTTTTCTTTAAATGTAAAATTCAGTATCAGAAGGCCTCTCTTCACTTTGAATCTTACTGTAAGGGTAAAATGGATGTCTGTACAAGGCATATAACTTCTCATATTCAATGCATATTGTATATGAGATGTAAGAAAATGGATCACATTTTTTAAGGGGTGCTAAAAACAAAGCAAAAGTAAGAATTTTCTTAATTGTTGTATTATGTGACATTGTATTACGTGAATTCTGAATGGGGTATGTCTCCACATTATGTAAGGATGGAGAACAAAAAGAAAAGTTTAATTAATCATCAATATTTACAATAAATAATGTCTTGTAGCTATAAAAATTATTCAAGTGAATGACCAGAAACTGCAGTTTGTGCATCACATGCATATTTACAAAAATTGTTAAATTAATGACCATCAGTTGCAGTTTGTACATTATAGTGATGGCAAAGTAATTGGTGTAAATTTTGGAAAATGTTCCACATTTCATGTACTTCTTCAGTAGAGATGCTTACTGTGGGGACAGGTCTTCAGAAGAGACATTCTAAAAATGAGACCCTTTAACATCATGATATTATATCAGTTGCAGTTAAGTCGATTCATTTGAATAATTCTTGTAAATATCAGACATTAATGCATGTAAATATCCATGATTAAAGTAACTTTTTGTTCTCTTTGTTTTTCACACTTACTGTTTTCCTGCCTTCACATTTTACATTCCAACACGTTTTGTATCAGAGCCGTGACTACATAATTTTTCTCCTGAGGCAGGTAAATATGTGCCCTTATGTACAGGCAAGGTGTTTAACTATTTGATGGCAAATAAATAAAGTAACACTAACATTCATTAAAGTTAACCATTTCAAATTTTAATATCATAATATCAATAACCTAATAAGATTTACTCATATAATAATATACAATCAATCAATATATACAATAATATTTAATCTTATCTTTATATATATACACACACACTGAAGAACCATTACATTATGACCACCCTGTTAATAACATGCGGGACCACCTTTAGTAGTAGTCTGAAGAATCTGATACCAAGCACTCACCAACTGGTCCTGCAATTCCCGCACTTTGCAAGAGGTAGCACAAATTTGGTTTTCCGGGTGAGACCACAAATGCTGTATTGGATTAATGTCAAATGAATTTGGAGGGTAAAACATGACTTGACACCTGTTGGTAGCACCATCCCCTGCCAGAAATATTCTTGTCATGAATGGATGAACCTGGTCTGCAACAATATTCATGTAGTGCACAGACATCAGGGATTGTTTTATGGGGATTATGGGTCCTAATGTGCTCCATGAAAAGATTGCCCACATATCATAATACCCCCACCACCAAACTTGTCTTCGTCCAACAGTGCATCCAGAAGCCAGGGTTTCGTTTGGAAATCAGCATATTGGCATATGCCCATCGATGTGATGGACCAGAAAACATGATTCATCGGACCATGCAACTTTCTTCCATTTTTTTTAATGTCCAATTCCAATGTTTCTTACCCATTGCAGTTGCAGCTGGTGATGACGTGCCGTCAGTGCAGGGACATACTTTGGCCTCCTGCTGTGTATGCCCATACGCAGCAACATACGCTGCACAGTGTGTTGAGAAACACTGTCTGGGTCACCACTGTTGTAGCTGGTGGTGATTTTGGCTCTTCAGTCACAGCGAATAACATTTAGTAATTTCTGCTGTCCTCTGGAATTAGTGTGCTGTTGATAACACACTGCTGGCCGCTGACTTGTATTTTCACCATCCATTCACCACTTTTAATATGTGCTCATAACAACTGCATGTGAATAGCCCACTAATAGCGCCATTTCTGATACTGATGTTCCCATTTGTTGAGCCATAACGATTTGATATCAAAGTCTGATAAATCAGCTGCTTTTCCCATTATGTCGCTAATCGCGATATGTTTTGAAAGACAGTGCTTAGCTGCTTTATATACTCCAACATCAGTCGTGCACGCGCAGTGGTTTTTTCCTGAGCAAGCCCGTTTGTCAAAGACGGAACAGTTATATAAATGATGTGTAATAAATTAAATTTTGGAATAAAAGTATTAAAAATTTCCTTTTTTTATAAATGGCGTGTAATGTTGAAATATTATAAATAGTAATGTAACTAATACGAAAAATACTGCATTAAATTTTCAAGCATCTGTAAATGCTTCTTTACTTTTATCCCATATCATCGCTTAACTCATGTGATTTTAAAGTGTTAAATTTTGTAAATGTGATAGGAGTTAGTGATAAATTTTTATATGCAGCAGTAAACTAGTTTACCACCTGGTCTAATTAATTTTGATATTTCAGAATTTTTTTTAAATTTATAGATGAACAGTGTTATCGCATTCATTTGTTTTTTCTCTTTTGAAACGTTGTTTTTATATTGTTTACATTAGAATCAGTTAAATGAAACTAAACTTTTTTAAATATTTTTCTTTCGCAAAGAATTCTAAAGTTTGAAACTTCTTTATTTCTTTGATACTAACCAATTCATTTTATTGTTTCATCATAAACAAGAGACCTACTCAGACAGAAAGAAGTCATGTCTTACCTTGTGTGTTTATAATCCAGTCTTAACAGAATAAGGAGGTTAATATGCTGATTTCTTTAATCCATCCAACAGGACGCATAATTATTTCAGAAATAACTAAATGAAATCATGTGTACAGTTCCAAGCAAGTTAAATATGGGTACAACAAGACAGAACTTAAAAACCACATGTCTTGTTCAATGGCAAATTTTACACAAAGGAATATAACATTAATAATATGGTACATTTCATTTTAAAACATCCTTGATAATTTTATGCTGCTATTTCGGTGGGTCTTTATGCATTAAATCTGCTTCAACAAACTGTAAGGCATTTGTGTCATCATCCTATTTTAGTTAATGGACTTTGGTAAGCTTGCTATGCCAAGGTAAGAACAGTAAGAGCTCTAGTCCAAATTAAAGAAAAGTAAGGGAATTCCTAATGTTGGCTACATGATATTTTCTGGAGTATTAGTTTATGAAGCTGAATACATTAGCAAACAAATATAACTTATTACCGTATTTGACGGCATATAAGACGCACTTTTTTTCTTAAATTTGGTGTCAAAAAAAGTTACCTGTGTCTTATACGTGAAGGACACAGGTTAACTTTAAATACTGAATGCTATTTTTAGCCCGGATAAAGGTCTAGACACACATAACGTTTTCTGTATCTACATGTGTGTGGTCTTCTAAATAAGGGCGCGTCTTATATGTTGTCAAATACAGTATATTAGCTCCAACAATAAGTTTTAATGTTAGAAAACAGCATGTTCAGCATTGTGAAATCTCAGCATTTTTCAAACTAATGTTATTAATAATTTTCTGAGCTAGATTGTTTGTAACACAGAACTCTTTTGATACTTCTTCATATGTTTCAAAGTTGAAAGTTGACAATTATGATTTCTTTTTTAAAATAAATTTCTAAATTTTCATTGCTAATTTGGCTTTTTTCTAATTGTTCTCCTGAGGCAAATGCCTCACTTGCCTCACCATTGTCCTGGCTCTGCTTTATATTATGCAAATTGTTTTTCTGCCATGTTCTACAACTCTTTGAAGTTGTGATCAGCAATTCTGTTACACCATGTATAAATGAATTTTTGATAAAATATAAAATCTTTAATTGTGAAGAATGGGCATTTATTTATGTTGTTTATTTAAATTTCTAATGTTTTTAGGAAGGATAGAAGGAGTATTTTGTGTAGAATATTTTTTCATTGTGATGTGGGTATTTGAAATTGTTTCCTTATTGCATTTTATTTTATTTACAGGAGGAAATATCCTACTAACATTATTCTCCTGGCCATCTTCGTAAGTAGTTAGGTTTGGCCTCTTTATTTAACTTTAAGAGTGGCTAAATAAAAGTAGCTTTAATCAGAAAAAAGAATTGTGTTGTTATATTTTAAGTGTTTAAATATTTTAATCATTCATCTGTAAACAAAACTGGTCCTGTCTTATTGTTTGATAGCAGAAGTCAAAAGATTTAAAAGTTGACTTAAACTGTGCATGAAAAGTAAAATTTTGTTTTCTTTTCACCCTAACTTTTTAAAATTTTTGCAATCAGTAGTGCTACCTTATTAGTATTTATTTTACTTTGCATTAAACAGAATTTTGATGTTGCAGGTTTAATTGGAAAAATTCTAATTTTAATTTTAACATCTTGATTTGTTTGTGGAATTCAAGAATGATAATCAGCTACTTTTTAAATAAATTCAAGCAACATGTTAAACAATTGCATTTATTTAATATTAATTGTTTTTCTGTGGGAAATATGTAGTATAAAAATATAACAAAATATTATATTAAAATTCATACCATTCTCATTGCAGTTTGGTTTTTTAGCAGCAGTGTGAGGTAGGGCAATTTGCATTTAAAATTAAAGCAGATCAAGTAATGGTAATATGCATTTAAATTATATGTTACTGCCATGAAAAAATTGGAACTTCGTATTATCAGCTTAGAGCTTTGTAATTAGTTTGAATGTTAAGCAAAGTTACAATATTATGTTATAAATAAATATTTCTGTATAAACTCCACATGTTTCATATTTTATTTATTTTTCTTTAAAAACTGTAAAGCATAATTCAGTTTCATTTAAAAAGGAAGAGTAATGCTGTTTTTAAAGGTAGGTATTTTAGTTGATAGTCAGTTTTACTTTGTATGAATTTTTTATGATTTTAACTATTTTTTATGATATGATTTTTGTAATATTTCTGTGAGAAAATAAAGGATGTTTGTGTTAACACCATCGAAGTACACCGATTCTTGAACATTGACTAAAATCTAAAATACACTGATAGATTTATGTATTTTAGAGTGAAAAACTGTTAAAATAATTGATTAAAAGAGTATTCAAAAGTAGAACTTTGATCTGGGTACTTATAAAAAAGATATAGATTAACTGGATTCTCTTCTTTCATGATGTACTTTAAATTAATCATCTACGTTTAGAATTCATCTGCTGTTTTAATACATAATAAAAGGAGCTTGATTATTTTATGTAATACGAAACTATTTAAAGAGTGGGAAAAACAGCATTTTAAACAGATTTCATAATTTTCTTCCAGACTTACCTGTATGTGTATTATTAAATATAAAGCTAAATAAACATTTTGTCTTTGATAGTTTTTTGTTGTTAATAAGTTTATCAAAATTATTTTCCTTAGTTATTACTATATTAAACATTTTTAAAGTATGAAAGATATTAATGTTGTTGACTAAAATCTGTTTAATTTTATCATCTCTTAATTATTATTTTTATTTATTTATTTATTTATTTTTTTTTTTGGTAACATTTAGACAATGTCAATGAGTTATATGCTGGGAACTATTTCCAGGTAACTTAAGTTTTATTTACACATTCATCTATTGTAATGTATATTGGTTGTAGCTGTTTGTGTTTTCTCTGTTTCTTCTGATCATATTGTGTTTATAGGTTATGTAGCTGACAGTTTATTATTATTATAGCTTTCATGAAACCAGAGTTGTTCTAATGGCTGTTGGTATTTGTGCTGGCGTCTGCTTGGCAGTTACTGTGTTTTCATTCCATACTAAGGTTAATAGCTTTTTTCAATTTTATAATTATTATAAATTAATTAAAAGTGCATGTATAATTAATATTAATTATTTGCTTGCTAAAGCAGAATAGTTTTGTCATTTTAAAATACAAGAAATATATAAATTTTGAAAGGTAGAATGTAATTTTGGGAAATTTAAATGAAGTGTTGCATATTTTACAGTGACATATATAATTTTCTTTGTTGTAGTTTGATTTTACATCTTGTGGTGGTGTACTGATTATCATGGTTTGGGTTCTGTTCTTGTTTGGAATCCTTACAATTTTCACACGTGATTCGGTAAGACAACTTTTTTTTATTTTAAAGTATTTGTGAAATTGGAAATAAGAAACAGAATAGTAATTGTAAATGACATACAGTTATTAACTCAGCAGTCTAGATAATCAGCTCCACCAGTATCCCAGATTATTTCATAATGGGTTGTAACCTCCAGAAAATAAATTCCTACCTATTTTTTAAATTTTTTAACCAGTTACATTCATTACAAGTAATTTTAAAATGCACATTTTTTGTAAGTTTTTATATTCTCTAAAAATTACAATATTAATGTCTGAATATTTTTCTATTTGGGCTTTTCTCTTACTCCATATGTAGCTTGAACATGATAGAAAATAGCTTGAAGCTGTTGTGTAGATGACTGTATGAAATTTTGAAAGAGCCAGAACTGGTTTGATGGTTAAAGCATTTTAATTTTTGGATGATAACGTTCGTATCACATATCTTCTCGATTGGTACAGCACTATGTATTGGGGATGCTATAACTGTCCCACTATTTTATATACTCAGATAACATTTTTCCATATGTGAAGATTACGAGCGGTTAATTGCATACTAAACAAACTGACAACAGCGGGAAAACTGATGAATATTAAGCATTTGGAGTTATTTATAAGCTGAGTTCCCTTGTGTCAGTTTTAAATAGTGATTGATAAAAGTTCACAGCATTGTAGATAGAATGATGATGCATATGGTGCAGTACAGGTTTTTGATGGGGGATGTATTTAAATTGAAATCTGAAATTTAAAAGGACTATTTCCAGTTAGTAAATTTTCCAATTAAGTCAGCTCTTTGATAATAATTTTCTTTCATATTTGTATATCTTATATACATATATAAGGGGTGTTCAAATGAAAAGGTACGAAACGTCTTAACAACCAAACCGGTTGAAATTTGAATATGCTGCTTTAGCATAATGTAAAGCGACATCTCGGTATGTAAATATAGTGTCCGATGTGGTTTTCAGGTGACCGTACCCAATTAATGCGGCATTGCATGTGAGGACATCATGGCATTCATGTGTCAGAATTCAACGATTGAGGAGTAGCGAGGTACTATCATATTTCTGACTGTGTAAGGGGTTAAGCTGCCCAATATTCATTCATCGTCAGTTGGTGGTCGGGAGAGAGGGGCGACTGTGTCTAAGAAGTCAGTGAGAATGTGGAATGCCAGTTATTATGAAGGCCTGGAGTGTTTGAGTGATGACCTGAGAACATGCCAGGCAAACACAGTAATCAGGGCCGAACTCATCGACACAATAAACGACCTGGGAAGAAGCGACATCTCAAGGAAAAGCACTTCAGCTCAAGCGACGAGCTGAAGGACTGGCTCCTGGCACATATATATATATATAACTGGTTTGTATATATATTATATATATATTTTAATTATGATAAAAGAAATACTTTTTTAGAAAGCATTTTTAGAAATGTGGCCCAACCTTTGGGTCGGTTGAAGGGTCAAATACAAGAGCAAAAAAAATCAGTTCCTTGCAGTTAAGTAGCTGGCTTTTAGTACTGTATAGTTATATTGTAGTTACTAAATATGTCTATAATTCAGATATTCTTCTTTATTATTAAATACACCTATTCAATTGTTAAAGTATATCCAAGAAAATTCAAACATTTAATATAATTAAAACTAATAACCTTATACATTCAAATCAGCTTTTATAAATTTAAAGAATACAAATTTTAAATTATGTTACAATAATAAAATTTAAAAATCATGTGTATGTTTGTGGTAGCATAAGTATGATCAGAGGAACTGAATGGAACTGACCAGAGGAACACATTTAGTGCATTCATGGCCAAAGTTGATTCTCCTAGAATAAATTATGTTAGAAGTATACTAAGGCAACAGTTGCTTCAGCTAATAATGATAATAAAATTTGCAATCTAAAATCCTAATTAACCATTGTGCATAAAGTAAAACCATAACTGTATTATTAATATAACCTCAAACTGTAATTTATGAAATTTTTCTCTGTTTTTTTGTCCTGCTGGCCACTTATCTTTCTTACATCAAGTTCGTTATAATGCAGATATAAAACACCATAGATGTAATTGTTAAAGAACGAGTGCGTATCATATTTCAGATTAGCTGTCAACATCTGTACTTCAAGAATGTTTTGTCAATAATTTTAAAAAAAGCCAAATTAGCAGTGACTGCTGCTATATCATTATTCCCAGCTTTATCATTATATATCATCATCATCATCATCATCATCATCATGCATATCAAAAATTGTATTACTTAAATATTAGAGAGAGAGGGTGAAAATTTGTGATTTTGGTACATGTGTCTTCTTCCTTTCGTGTGTTTATAGATAGATGTGTGCTGAATATATGAAAATCTTTTTTTAAAAACTTAGGTAATGATGTAGTATGTAATATATCACCTTTAGTTATTGATTTTGTTGTTCAGAGGCCAATATTCAGAGTAAAACATGCATCGATTTAGGACAACACACTTTGTTTATATAAATAAAAAGTGCACACAGCAAATCATATTGATCGACACGCAGCATATAGTATCTCACCATCTCCGTACTCTCGAATGATGGATGTGTCGAAAGAAGAGACTGCTGCGCTGCCATAATGCCATAATAAGAAAAAAAAGTTCACTCGCCTCTACCCAACACATGCCTCCTGCGAGCAACATTTTTTCAATACAAACAATACATAACACATTACATTAAGAAATTAAGATATTATTTTCAATTTATACATTAATTTTTCTTCACTGACACTCTTAGTAAGAAAATCTGCAATCATATTATCAGTTTGTGAATATTCCAACTTAATGACATTGTCCTTTATTAAGTCCTTCATAAAATGGAAACGTAAGTTCATGTGTCTGGGTTTTGTAGATCTGGCACAGTTGATCCACTGGATAGCTGCTTGACTGTCAATATTCAAAGCCATTGCACCATCCAAAAATTGTTTACATTTTAATTCTGATAATAAATTTACAGTTCAAATAATATCCTTAAAAATTTCAGAAATAGAAAAAAATAATTCTGCTTCACAAGTAGAAAGACTAACACTTCTCTGTTTACGACATTTTCAAGAAATCCATGAATCACCTAGTAAAATAGTACCACCAGAAAATGACTTGCCATTTTCCGCATTTCCTCGGCTAGCATCAGCATATGCATTTAAAATTCCAAAATCATTGCTATAGAAAAGTTTTGTTTATTTCTTGTACCTTTTAAATACCTTAACACCCTTTTAGCCAAAATATGCCTTTTTTCTGGTACATGATTAAATTGTGACAAATAAGTTGTTACAAATGATATATCAGGACGCGTTCTATTCGCTAAATAAATAAGTTCCCCGTTTAATTCCTGATACAAAGTTGTATCAGTGTTTTCATTTGTTCATAAAAAACCTTTATCTGCCCCTTTAACAATTGGCATTTTTACTGCTTTACAATTTTCTAGATTGTATTTAGTCAGTAAAGATTCAATATATTCTGTATGAGACAGGGTTGCCATGCTACCTGGAAAACCGTAAAAAGTCAGGGAATTCGGAAATTGACCAAAAAATACAGGGAAAAGTCGGGGAATTTAAGTGTTTTTGTCAAAATCTGGAAAAGTCAGGGAATTTCATACAACGATCCCGCCAAAAAAGGCGAGTTTTGTGCCGACGTCGGAAGAGATCACTTTTTTGGCGAATTTTTTATCACATGAGTGTCATTCGGGCAGCTGTCATAGAGCCAATTTTCGCAACTCCAATTTGATTGTCTTTTAGAACGGCAAATCAAGTTTCCCGCAACTTTTGGTTTCCAGTAGCCTTGAGAATCGAATGTGCATGAACTAAAGAAAGTACCTGTTCTCGTATAAAACAAAATGGGTTTAATCCTAGTTTACGGTACCATGAAGGTTAAAATAAAAAAATATGTATAGGAAGAAAACCTCTCTGCAACAGACGTGGCTCCGTTCCATCATAGAGGGAAACAGCTGTGCATGCGCGATATATCTGTCGCCAAAGCTCGAAACCGGTGTTGAAGTTCGAAGGTCACGTTATCAAGAGTTCATAAAATGAATATCATTTAAAATTTCTTTAAACTCTAAAGGAAAAGAAAATATTTTTTGGCGCAAGTAAATTAATTCATGGATTAGTTATTTTGAGGGGGGAAATCCAACGTCTTTTATAAAACGTTTCTTCTTGGATTTTTCGCAATAATTTAAAAATGGATTTTCGTAGTTTTCTTTTTTGTCAAAGAACGTTTCTTCTTAACATGTGTTTCTCAATTTCCTGTACACATCGCGGAGAGGGAAATTCTGTGCCAGGTTCCGTCGCCAAATCCCTTGGCAAATTTTCCCTCCGCTTTCTAGCCGCGTAATAGCATTTACGTGTATGGAACTTTTTCTTCTTTACATAGACATTCTTTGGTTAGAATAATCTCCATGTATGGTACAGCGGGATTTGGCGACATGATGATGAGCAGTAAACGAGTAATTTTGTTCTTGGAGACAATTTTCAAAATCGTGCGAAGGCCGTACCGTATACTAGGATTTTACTGCAAAATCTTTTTTTTTTTTTTTTTTTTTTCCTTTTCTTTTTAATAAATACCTTGTCATTTTGCAGTAAAATAAAATAGTAATCGGTCATCTAGGCTAAACATGTAATATAACTATATTCGCTAAAATATCATTGATTATTCTAATTCAATTTTTAAGTAATTATCTTTATTTTTATGTTATTCATATCATTTAATGTTGCTTCTTCCCTCTAAATTTATGTATTATTAGTAAATAATATTTCCAAATTTCAGGAAATTTTCTCTGGCATAATCCTGAAATTTAGTAAAAAAATATCATTAAATAGATTTCTTTCTTTCATTTAACTGCAGAATGTTTGCAAAAAAAGCCTTATTTTATTCCAGATTGGGGAGATTCTAATCTCAATCTTCAGTGGAGAAAACAACTCCTATTATAATTATATTTGTGTTTTCAAGTGTTAAGGTGCCTTTTAAAAGACACCTCACACAAATTA